CCACACAGACTCTTCTGCTGGGAACACTGAAAGAATCAGTGAAACTTACTCTGTCCTGACTAATGCAGCTCTTCACTTCAAGGAAAACGCCCTATAGCAGTGTATACCCCTCATGTAGGTGATATATAATCTCCAAGCGCCAACCCTTGTTGAGCCCAGTGATTTCCTGTTTCGATTCGAGGCTTAGGGGGTGTCGTCCCCCTTGATTTCAAGAGAAACTGGAAGGTTCACCTCCCAAAACACCAGTCCAATCCGCCAGGGTGATCCAAAAATGGTGGACCCCTTTGGTTGGCATGTCCCCAACCATTTTTGTGGACGGATTTCCATTTTGAGACATCCCCACAAAAAACCTGTAAGCTGACTGTCTTGCTCAAGCTTTCGCAGGAGGGCCAGCCGCCTGAGCTGGTCGTGAGGCGGGTTTCGGTGAGTCCATGCTCGGAGAAGTGGTGACCAGCCTAGCTTCCCACACCTGCCTTTGTCTCATCGGATAGGCGTGGTGGTATTCTCATCAAATAGGCATTGGTATGCCATTGGCTTTGTCTCATCAAATAGGGGAACCCCCCCAATTGATGGTATTCCTTTCGTTTTCCGCTTAAAGGACCCCGAAAGGGGTAGCCTCGACAAAGGACACACCCACTTTCAACAGGAGCTCCGCTTGGAGGACTTGTAACTTGCTTTTGAAGGTTGGTACGGCCAAGTTTGTGGATCGAAAAGTGGATTGCTAGCCACTTGCTAACTTGGCCAAGCTCCCAATTCAGAATTGATGAGTCATGTTTACTTTGGATTGACAATCTCTCCGTGACGCAGACATTGTGTATTTATAATACACATGCACAAATGGGATTCCTTTGATTGCTCTTGTCTTCCAAATCAATCGGAAGTGAGCATGAATCCTCTGGTGCTAGCCTCGTTGCACCTAACCCTGCATCTTGCCGAGCTGTCTGGTTAGGACACGGTCAGTTTTTCCAGCCGCATAAGTCAGATGTCAAATCCCGGCCTGGTGTGATCAAGCAACAAATTCCAGGTCCACCCAGATGGTTGGTTCGGCCTTTGTTGCTTTGGGAAAGGCCTGGGAGTGTGTCTCAACCAGGCACTTATGTTGTCAATGTCCTTATGCACTGGCTTCCTTGAAGCAACGCCTCCACAACGGTCCAACTGCATTTGACCTGGTTGGCATCATGTTTTTGTCCACTCAGGGATCGGCAAGTTGTCCCACACTTACCGTCAGGGTGCTGCTTTTGCGGGGGTTTTCTGGCATACTCGTTGGACTTTCTTGGCTGACAGAATAGTTCTGAGTCATCTGAGCAAGCTTAACATGCTCGCTGACTGCCGCATAGGCAAACACATGGTCGCGTAAGGAAAGCGCAAGCTCGCAGATAAGAAACCTGATACGCTGCCAAGCATACCAGACTACACTTGGGTGAAAATAGCTTGGTCACTCCCTACACTTGGATGAAATAGATGGTTCACTCCCAACTTATTTTAATTTAGTCATCCCTTCGCAATTCTTGACAATGGAATTGCGGCATCTACTTTCAGCCAGTCCTTGTTTCAGGGTTTAGTCGTTCCCCTCTTGCAGGGCCCTTGACCACGTCGAGAACTCACTTCCCAGACGTCCAGCGGTGCCCTTTCGGTTTTCGGAGCGGTGTCCCTTGCAAATCAACCACAATGTCTTGGACGCCATTTTGCTCCCACCATTGGAGCTCTGGGACTGAACAGAAGAATGAATTCTCCGCTTGGCGTAGGCTGAAGCCCGAGCCCCCTGAGCCGGAACCGGAGCCGGAGAGGGAGCTGGAGCCAGGCCTGAACCAGCCAGCGACATTTCAATTTTGGATTGAAACCGTTCCCAAACCTTCCACAGGCCCGGTTAAACTGGATGGTGGAGAGGGCTGCTTTACCCTTGAGGATGCGACGGCAATCAGAGGGCACAGCGGGCGCTTATGGAGCCTTGTAGCACCTCTACAGTTTCAGTGACTGCTGGCCTTGAGAGTGCCAACATCTTGGATGTTGAGAGCCTCGCGTGCCAACTCAAAGCCCACTTGTTTGTCAAGCCCCTTGCCTAAAGTGGATAGTCCAGTCCTGTGTGAATCCAAGATCTCGGCGCAGGCCCTTTGACCTCTCCCGACGCTGTGGGCAAAATGTTCAAGGGTCCATCCAGGGCCGATCCCCAGCAAACACAAGCAACCGTTTGCATAGGGCCCCTGGTTGGACGCGGCCAATGAAAGTCGGAGGCTTACTGCTTGTTGGCGAGGATGAAAACGGGTGTCTTAAAATAGGGGGCTCCACAACCCCCATCCCCTTCTGCCCCCAAAAGGCAGTGGCTCGCTCAGAGCTACTTGCAACATGGTTTCCCTTTCACCTTCCTCGCCCAAAGCAAAGCACACACACATTGGAATTGGACCCTTTGGGTTCCTCCAAGTGTCTTTGTTTTGGTTCAAGGTCCCAAAAGATGATTCGCTGTAATTTAGTGTTTGTCCACGTCTTTCTGGAAATTTATTGACAGGGTTGCTCCGATTCTTTAAAGGATGCCTTCACCCCAAAGCACAACTAGACTAGCCCCCTTTGATTTCCTTTTATGCCAAAGTCTACTCTGCCAGAGCCTTTGATTGATCCTGTGTTTCTAGAGGGGCTGAGCTTTGGTGAGGGTACCCTGTGAGTGCCAAAGGGAAGCCAAAGGGAGCACCATTTTGGGGGGTCCCGGGACCCCATTTTGACACATCCCCATGTTTGTGGGGCTTGGTATCTCGAGTGCCAGGCGAGCAAAGCCTCGCTCGCAGGGGAGCTGAGTGTAAGCGAGCCGGGTTCGAGCTTGGACCTCTTTGGTCTCGAAGGTTCGCTTTTGGGGAGGAGGCGGGGCCTTTTTATTGAGAAGCCTTTGGTTGATGCCGAAGGGGAAAAAGCAAGCAACCGTTTTACAGGACCTGATTTGGGTGCCCAGTTGAACCACTAGAGTTACGCCCAGAAGTGCTTGGATCAGTTCACTGCAAGAGGCAGGTTGAAGCGAAGGCATGGAAGGAATCTAGTAGGCCGCTTGCACGCGTTTCGTTGCGAGCAGCACACAGAGGCAATTGATTTGGGTACTCACCACAAGTTTCAGATTGTGCTTAACAGATAGGTCTGTCTCCAAGTGGGGGAGCTTCCAAAGATGGTTTCTATTTTCCGGCTCCCCGAGGACTGAGTTGTCGAGTTGTTTCTGGATCATGTGCGAGAACCCTGAATGACCCTGTTGCTAGTAAGAGGGTTCCCTTGTGAACGACACAATCCCTACAACACAGGATGCCCTCTTAGAAGCCTTTCTAATACCAGCGTGGTTCTTTTAATTGGGTGACATGAAGGGACCCCCTTGTCACGTGTTGTGGGACCACACAAGTTTTGGCCACGGATGCGCAACAGTCTGGGTTGTAGAGGGTATGACATGGTCGAAACCAAGTTTTGCCACATCGGCCGCAAGCACCAACGGTACTCACAAATCTTCAGGCACGGGAATTGCACATGAGTCGTAGCATAAGGAACCCTAGCATGGGCCATGGGTTGTTTCTTTTTAGGTCTCCCTTAAGAACCCAGCCCAGGGAACCCTCAGAACTGCACCCACACTTGATTCGGATGCTGGGCCCAGCTCAGGCGCGCGGTGCCGGGTGGTCGCGGTGCTGCAGCGCTCGCAGGGCGGCACAGATTGGGTGGCGACATGGCTGCTTTACATCTCTCCCGCCCCACTTGGAGGGCTTTCATATTGCTTGATGGGTGGACCGTTTCCCTTTTTAGTAAGGACCCCTGAGAGGATTTGGTTGACATTTTTTGTGGAGGTCCCTTTGTTTCTGCAAAAAGAGCGGTTGACCCCGTGTTGGGGCTCCTAAAACATGCCAGTGCTTGCTTGGGAGAGTTTGCATCTTGCGCTTCTGTTGGGAAAACAGCGGGTGCTTCCCTCCAAGCGGCATTTTACTTGTTTGGGGGCGTCAGGAGCTCAAGCGCATGCAATACGCGAGCTTATCAAACCTCTTGGATTCTGTGCGATGCTTGAGCGCCCATGAACGAGAGCCAGATCCGAAGCTCGGAATGCTGGAACCGGCGCTAGTTGAGGGGATTCCTGCGTTCGGATCCCTAATGTTCACCCCATATTAATAAAGATCCCTAATGTTCACCCCATATTAATAAACCCCTGTTTATTAATATGGGGGTGTCCCCCGCGGTCTGACTCCCCACTAAACCCAGGGACACTCCCCCCTGTTCAGAAGCCTGGGTCGATTAATATGGGGTCGGGACACGCCGCATGCGCATGCGCTTTGCTCAAGGCCCCAGAATGTGGGGGAGATCGTGGCCCTGGTGGCGAAGCCAAACCTGGGCCTCGGGCTGAGTTGCTGATTTTTTTGGGGGAAATGGTGTCTCCAAAACCCCAGGTGTCATCTGAGGGGATGACATTTTGTACACTCATATGGGCGCCGTATTCTTCGCTTTTTGAGTCTTGCGGAAGCTGTTTTGGTGAGTTTGCATGGAGCAAATCGCATCGTTGCGATTTGTTTTCGAGCGCAAACAGGCGGTCGGGTGAAATGCCGGCTGCTCACCTTTCGCTCCACTTCATGTTTCAACCACCCTTCAGGATTGTCATCAAGCCCGCGCATGTGGACGTTTGATGATGGAGGTTTTTCACCGCTAGCCCCGGCAAAGGAAGGGTGCCGGGTCTAGGCCAAATCGGCTTGCTTTTTGAACGGAAACCAAAGCGAATTGCTCCCGTGTTTATCAGGGATGCTCCTGTTTTTCCTTGGACAGATGATCAACTTCCTTTGGAGTAGACATTTTTGGTAAGCGTTCCCTTAGGTTGCCCTTTTCAGGGTTGCCATTGTCTACTTGCCAGGGATGTTGGAGCAATGTTTTTGCCCGGTTGTGTTCATGCTAGTGGCCCAAGTGCCTGTGGAGTTGGCAACCCCTTGAACCTTCCCAGTCAGTGTAATGGGCGTGAGTCCTTTCACACCTTCCGAGGCCGAACTGATGCGGCGGACACGCCC